AAATTGTTGCTTCTTGCTTGGCAGCACACTTTCTTATGGTATGGCTCCTTTTGAGGGGGGCATGTTACAAAAAGGAATCCTTGGATACTTGTGGAAACAAACACTCGGGGACTTGTTCAGGATGGCCTTATTGTCTTCCTCGCGGTGTGTTTTAGCACATGCACGTTTCTTTCCCTCCGTTGTGAGCTTCGCAGGGAAGGCACTGTTTCTTGTTTACTTTGGCATTCTACTTTAATCTCTCATGCCTGCTTTATATGCTGGGCCAGCAGATGCTTAGAGAAAAAGAGTATGGACATTTGTATTTAGCAGACGTGCGTTTCAATCCCAAGTGCTCTCCTCGTTGGTGGGATCTGATGTTGGAAAACTTTAGCTAAGGGGCCAAGCGTAGCTCACTACCAATGTGCGTCAACGACAGTGGTGTTGGAAAACAGCTTCAGTCGTGAGTGTCATGATTGTCTTCTCTTGACAAAGTTGAGTTGCTACAAGCCTATAGTTGCTCAACGTCTAAACTACTAAGTATCTAGCCTTGTACAGAAACGTTTGATGACCCCTGGATTGGATGACTTTAGACATGCCACTTACTCTTTTGAACCTGGAATTCTTCATCTATGATGCGAAATATTAATACTCTATCAAGTTTCTGTTAAGGAAGGGAGATAAAGTATATGACATTTTTGATTTGGGACCCAGAGGGTATTAGCCCTTTGATACATAGTTTCGTTTCTTCTAATTGTTCTTATTGGTTCCCAGTTTAATAAATCAGTTTCTTGAAGGAGAGGATATCACTCTCCCACCTTTTCAGTTGGTAAGGGTACGATTGCTATGTTTGCTATAGTAGTGCCTTTTATGTGTATCAGGACTTGTACAGATTCTTAAGAAAACTCAGACTGCTGTTTGAGTAAGGGTTAATTAACTTGTTTTTTTTTTTAGCATTGTCAGTTCTGTTCTTTGACAATAAAGTTCTGTTTTAAAAACGAAAGATAAGGTAGAATAAAAATTATCTTACCTGATACTCCTTCTACTGGGCTTTGTACCTAGCATTTAGTGAAAGTACAAATGAATGAATGGATATTCTATCATTATTTTTACCTGATCAACTAGTTTGACCCTGAGGGACAGTGAGTCAAAGAGAAGCTGTGACTTGACATGACTTTTATTGTTTTCTGCTTCTTTTTCCATAATTGAGAGAATGGAACAGAAGCCATGATAACAGAAATAACTTATGAGTGTACCTGGCAATGAATATTTTTTTCATTTACTAAGACGTGATGTAATTTCTAAAGTAAACCTGACAAAAATAACTGTCAACTCACTGAAGCCCACATAATACTTTCGTTAAATAGCCCCATTATATGAAAATGTTTTTTGCAATTTTTAAGTTATTTATTAATTTTCAAGATGTTCACTCTTTGCTGTTTTGCTATGTTTTCTCATTTGTTTAACAAACTTATATTGAGGGTATCCTCTGTATTCTGCATTATAATAGGGTAAGAGCGATGAACCTGATAGTCTAACAGCATTCACTGAGCTTACAGTTTAGTGAGAGTGGCAGATATCATGCAACAAATCTAGAAGGCGCTCACAAATGTATACATTTTATTAGAATTGTCAGTCTCAATATATACTGACAACAAAAGATGTATGCAAGTCACATTTGACTTCTGCAATTACCAGAGGTGCTCAATGTTGTGACTGTTAGCATCTGGATACTTCTGATTATGGCGAGCAGCTCTTAAAATGCGCATACCTCTTTTTTTTTGGCTCCTCTGGTAGTTGCAAGAATAATGAGCTAAGAAAGTAGAGTATCAGTGACAGGTGCTCATGGGAATGTCTGAGAGAGAAGTCATTGAGCCAGGGGGTTGGAAAGTGTTTGAGGACGTGACATTTAAGTTGGAAAGTCAAGAATTGCTCTGGTTATTTCATGGTGAGTGGAGCATGTTGATTCTGAAGTGTGTAGGGCAGAAGGAACCTCGTGGGAAGGGTCTGAGACTGCCACGTATAGACAGTAGTGCCCGGTGAGGTTGGACACGGCCAGATGGTTCTGGGCCTTCAAGTACGGAGAAGCATTAAAAGCCCACAGAATGGCCACGTGTGGCTATTGCAATAGTATGGTCTGGTGAAGGATGCTGGGGGTATCAACTCAAATGACAGCCATGGTGGAAGGGAGGACAGAGTGAATTGGAGATGGGATTGGCAGGACTGCGTGGATTGAGTTCAAAGGACAGGAAGGGACACATCTCTTTCATCAAAAGCAAGAATGGTTGGTTGGTGCCACGGATGGAAAACACTCGGGGGTACGGGCTTTGGAAGGAGACATACGGACAGTTTTGCCCAAGTGCTGGAGATGTCGCGCAACTGTCAGCCACACACCTCGGGGGAGCCACTGGTCTATGTGCAGTCATTAGGATCGGGGTGGTAGATCAGATGCCCAGCAGGCATGTGTGGAGAGGGCAGCAACAGGACTTCTTCTGGAAATTCCAGCCTTCCAGGAACTTGAACAAGAAGCCGAGGGTCAAGCAGCAAGACTAGAGTGTCGGGTCCTGGAAACCACAGCGAGAAAGGCTTTCAGGAAGCGGTGTTGCATGCTGCCGAGAGGGCAGGTGCTCTGAGGACTTGCAATTGGCCCTCAGAATCTGTGAGTTGGAGGTGACCAGTGATCTTCATGCGAACGAGTTTCTATCATGGTGTGTGAGAATCTTAGCTGCATTTAAAATCTGGAGGCTACGCTTCTTTTTTAGAGAACTTTTCCTCTCATTAGATCAGTGCTCTAATACATGTGCCCTTTTGAGTGGGGGGTCTCACTCTGTCATCCAGATGGGAGCGAAGTGGTATGACCACTGGTCACCGCAGCCTCAAGCTTCTGGGCTTTCCCGCTTCAGCCTCCCAAGTAGCTAGGAGTATAGGCACGTGCCACTATGCCTGAATACATTTTAAATTTTTGTGGAGGTGTAGTCTCACTATGTTGCCCAGGCTGGTCTCAAAAACCTAGGCTCCAGCAATCCTCCTGCCTCAGCCTTGCAAAGTGCCGGGATTACAGGCATGGGCCACTCTGCCCAGCCAGCATGTGTACCTTTCAGCGATTCTAATCAGGTGCTTTCAGCAGCTTCCAGTCTGTTTTTCTGTATTCAACTCTCCTGACTTGTCCCTTTAGGCTTCTTGTCACTGCCAGTTTCATTAATGACTGCTACTTTGTTTGGAGCCTGGGTTCCTCTCAGACCACAGCTCTTGCCACATTCCCGTTTCGATGCTATGTCCTACCATATACCATGAAAGCACTTGACCTCACGTTTTGTTTTTGTTGTCATTCTGTCTCTCCCCCTTCTCCACTACCCTTCTCCTCCACCCCGCCCTGCCACCACCCTGGATTAAATTTACAGACTTAAATTGAGAAGAACACAAGAAATTAGAAGAACACAAGAATGTATGTGTGCTAAATTAGAAACGATAATGAGAAAACATTGATATTAAGATTGAAAGGGGACAGGTGGATAATAGGAAGAGATTCTTGATCTGGGCTCGGGGTTCTGACTTCCGGTTCCACTGCTGGCATAAATTTAAGTTCAATTTAACCTGTCACCCCAGGTTAATTTACAGGAAAAATAATTAAACTTGAAAATTTTTCATACAATGAATTATTGGAGTTCTCATTTTCACTGTTTGTATTATGAAATTTTGCTTTCTTGATATGCCTCACCAAAACCAGTTCTTTCTAAGTCTTCTGGAGTATGGCTTTGTGATATGGATAGAGAGAATTCCTCACTGTGTTATCTCCTTGAGCAAGGTTTATAATGTATTCCAATGAGCACACACAGTGTTGTCTACTACTCTGAATCCACAAGGTGTCATATAGATTTACAAAGGGTTTCCAGACATGCAATACTTTGAACATTTCTATTTGTTTGAACTTTTTACTGCCTGACAAAAGTTGCATAGATATATGGAGTCTTCCCAGATTTTTTTTTGCATTGTTCTCCTCAGAAAAATAAAAGCTATGAAATTTGACATTCCATTATTAATAGTAGATCAGTGAGACCAATTCCTTGTCAAGCTATGCATACCGTCAAAGTTAGATAAGGGACATCCCCTTGGAGGACACGGTAAAGAATTTTCGTGTATAAAATTTGGAGGGAACCCCCCCCATATAACCTTTACCTATTTAAAAAATGTGTTGAGGCATAAAATTGGGAGGACATGTTTGAAGTTAAAAATAAAACTGTTACTTAGGTATTTAATTTTAAAAAATAGGTCAAGAGAAGGCATGCCTCTGATGTCTGACCCTGCTGTTCCTGACTTTTTCATGGGAATATATTGAGAAATAACCCAAAACATCTATATTTGCAGCAATGGGAGTCATCTTGGAGTGGACAACTGTATGCTGAGCTAAATGACATAAGAGTACTAAAAGATAAACTATGTGAAGAGCATTAAGGAGAGCGTTTCTTGGTGTTTTCTCAGACTGGATAGCCTGGGTGGATCTCAACACTTTTTCCAATACCATCTGCCGACTGAAAGGATACAGCCCCAATGGCACTTGGGTCAAAACCATGTCTTTAAAAATAACCTCTTGCTTATACTTAGTTCAGAAAGAAGCCAGCCCAGACGCTACAGTTCAGCCACCCTGTATCCAGGAATGGATTCCCAGAGCACGAGGGAGCACGCACCGTGCTCTAGAATCATAGCACACACGTATCTGGGATGCCATGTCCTCTGTGTCACAGCTGTCCTCCAAGGACAGTTGCAGTTTAAAATGGTATGGGGACCATGGTGGTTCCCTCTGGGACAACTGTACTCCCAGAACAGTTGGGGGGGGTGTGGGTGTATATAGTATATTCCCCCTGGTCTTTCTCCTTACCCTTTTTGAGCTTCTTAGAGGTAGGCTTCCATGTCATTCCTGATGGTTTTAATTTTGAAATTGAAAATTAGAATTTCTGGGGCTGTGTGGAAGAACGGCATTGCCTTATGTCAGCTTGGTCATTGTGTGGTATTTCTTTTTCCTCTAGGAATGCTGTCTCTGCAACTTGAGAGGAGGTGCCCTTAAGGAAACTCTGAACAATAAGTAAGTCATGCATTAATTGTGCTGCATTGTATTACGTTCTTTCTCCATTCTGAACACACTCTCCACCCCGCCCCGCCCCTCCCCACGAGAGTTTGCTTTGTCTCTCATTGTACACCTGGTTTCTGAGCAGCCTTTGCAGTTCAGATCTGGGTTTGGGGTTCTGGCTTCAGAGTCCACTGCTGGCAGCACTCTTTCCTCTACTGGGCAGACAAAGCTTGCTTCTAGTCTGTGTGTGGACACCACGAGGAAGAACTCCCCTCTTACTAACAGTCTTTTAAAACGAGCACAGCCCATGTTGTCCGTGTGCCATTAGAATCCTGGTGTTTAACTTGATGAATCCTATTCGTCTAGTAAAAATAGGGTTTGCCCCAAAAAGTGAAACACTTACCTCCAGATAAACCAGTCATAGCCATGACGTTTAAGCAAAACCATCTACTTTTAACACCAGGAAATGACAAGAACACAAGAATATATATGTACTAAATTAGAAAAGATAGTGAGAAAACATTGCTATTAAGATCGGAAGGGGACAGGTGGATATAGGAAGAGCGTCTTGAAGGGGAGTGATAAGTGAACGTGATAGGAAGGGAATCTGGCTTTTATGGCTGTTTTGCATGCATTTTATTATTATTTCCATGGCCAGGTTTTAATACTAAAGCTTGGGCCAAGGCATATTACAGGGTCCTTTGGAATAGAGGCATATCAAGATAGTTTAGGCTGAGGTTGCAAGGTGGCACTGGAGGGCCAGATCTGGGTCCTGGATACTTTTTGTTTGAACCGCACACCATTTCATAAATTTGGTCTAAAATTTAAAAATGGAAAGGTCGTACCATAAAAGTGCAGATTTTCCTCTTAACAATGATTGTGTATCTCTGAAGGCAATAAGTTGGAATGAGAACCCCACCTCCTTGGGGCAGATATTCTGCAGGTCACCACAAGTTCCCAGTATGTGTGGATGTATTGACTGACCTGGCAGTGCATGGCCATGGGCACTGAAGTCGAAACTCCTGGTGTGATGGCATGGTGGAGTCAGCGTAATTCTTTGCCTGTGCATATATTTCTGAGTCCTCAGAAGGAAGAACAGTGCTATTTATTATTCCTGCCTTGATAACGCTTATTCTCAAACCCTGCAGCTTTGCCTATGTTGGACCATCTTTATTCAAAGTCTTAGCTGATATGGCTGCACTGTACTTAAAAGTCTTCACCAGTTCTTGGTTGTTGCAAGGCTGGGCAGACTGTGAGATGGTTCAAGGGGGCACCTGGGAAGATTGAGGGATAAGAACCACCCTTGGACTACAACAAAAAGAAGCAGTGTTTTCCATAGCATGACAATATTCATTTCGAGAGGGAAGAATGCCCTGGTGGGGTTGACACATGTCCTCTCTTCCTGTGGGCAGGCCATCCTGATGCTGTGTAAGTGAAATAATAAGTATGTTTGTCTTAAAAATGCATTGAGGGATTGGACAGTTCTTTAAAGATCTCTTCACATGGCATGATTCTTTATATTTACTTGGGGGTACAACATTTTCCAGACAATTAATAGTGTTAATGAACAAGTTGTCATTTCTGAGAATAGGAAAGGGGATGCTGGGTTTTAAGTCGGGAACCTGGGAACCAGCTAAATCTCGTTTCTCCTTGTTTCTAGTTTCCTTTGATCATGGTAGGACTGCAGTGAGAAACAGTTTAATTAAAGACCCAATCAGTACTAATTCTCTTAAAAGACTTCTGCTACTTGAACCAGTTTGCTTTGTGACGTTTGTATTGTGGGAAATGGCTCTATGTCATTCCCGGTTCATACCGTGTATTACTGGGACCCATCTCTTCCCACATATCTGTTAGCTTAAGCACATGACACGCACATCATGCCATGCAATAAGGAAACTGCATTTCAGCATTTTGCAGATCGAGGGTTGAAATGAATGTTCGCTAAAGGATCGAGGCCTTGGTCGTGGCCTCGTTCTGCGTGCCTCAGTGCAGCCAGATGTAGCACTGAATCCTTGCAGGTATCCTCCAAGAGGTTTACAGTTCCAGATCTGTTTGTGCTGGCTTTAGGCTTTGACTTTTTCTCTCGCTCATGTGCATGCTTCCCACCTGTGGGCATGGCCATCCGCAGCTTGAAGTGCGAAGGCTTTGTGTTTACGTCTGATGTCTCCTCTCCTGTAGGTGGGTCCATGTCATGTGCGCCGTTGCGGTCCCAGAAGTCCGATTCACTGATGTCCCCGAAAGGACACACATAGATGTAGGCAGAATTCCTTTGCAGAGGTTACAGTTGGTGAGTGGCAAAGCTTCTTTTACCTCATAAACTAGTGTTTGTTTCCTACTCTAGTGAATTTTCCTAGCATTGCGCAAATTCCCAAGATATTTTTCTCCCGGCTTGATTTTATCTTTCTACCCCTATTTTTCTTTAGCCTGAATTTATTTATTCTTACAAGTTGTTTTCCTGTTATATTATGATCTTCCCTATACCCCTCCTCAAATTCTGTCTGAAATAGAGGAAAAGATTAATCCATTTGTGAATTTTCAAACTATAGGATATCCTTTGAGAATTGTCAGTGATGAACCTTAGCTGTCCAACTCCTTTTAAATTGTTTTGTTTTTCTCTCTTTTGCCTCTCCTTGGTTGGTCCAACTTTGCAAAATGTATCTAACCTAATTCCATTATCTCTTCACTGAGAAGAGACAGAGATTACAGAAGGTTTTATTACCAAAGGATTTTCTCACTCATTAATAGATACAAGTTACTTAGTATGACAAATTTTGTAGCCCATTGTCTTTTGACCTGTTCAGAAACTTTCATAAGGATCTTTTCATTGATTTCCCTTGTTATCAGTATTTTTCATTGGAAACACAGTCCTTTAATGACCTTAACATCAAAGTAACTGTAGTTTTGTTCAATGAAGAGCCAATGGATCATTAGTTTAGGCCCTTATGTAGCATATCTAATGAGAACATTCCCTAAAGTTTGACTCCATGACCCTAAACATGCTGCAGCTTGTCTTACAGAGGTGGGCTTAAAACTTTAGCATCTCCTCAGTCCTGGTTACTTTGATTTTAAGGTCTTTCTGCTGTAGAAGCTTCCAGGCACTCTTGCTGTAATGCTTTTCCTGACTGTTGCTTCTTCCTGCTCTCTTCACCAAAGGGTGGCTGGCTGGGCTTTCTCTGGGCCTCTTGTAGGAACTCAGAATCTAGTCTCCTGTCTTTTGTACTCAAGAGTTGTTATTTCCCATCATAGTTCCGTCAATAATTTTGGTTTCCTAGAAGATATGTGGTCCTTTCTTGGAACTGATGATTGCTGTTGGCTGACAGGGGTTTGGGGCCTAGGAAGCTAAGAATGTGCAAGCTCAAGTTTTGTGAACCAAGACTGAAATGAAGGGACCATTCAGATGACCTTCTTCAGGTCATAATGGCCATCATAGACAGGGAGAAAAGGGCACAATTATTCATCTTGTGAACTTCCACAGGAAAAGTTGAATTCCTGTACCTTGATCACCAGTTTTAAAAAAGGACACAAAAAAACAAGCAAGCAAACCAAATATTTGAATTTCGGCTGTAAGAAAGGACATCTAAAAAATTTTGACTCGCTGCGTTAAGTAATTTAATGTGTAATGTGATAAATGTTACCAAATGTCTAACATTTTGACTTTTTTCTGATTATAATAGTAATATGTATTTGTAAATATTCTAAGCATCACAGTTTAAAAACACCCATGGTCCTCTCTCCTGAAGGCTGTCTTCTGTTTTCCATGTATCACAATGAGCTGTCGCTGTCCTTGAACTCATGTTAAGGCCTGTATCCTGGAAGCTCTAGTCCATCCCTAGTTTTTTAGTGGTTTAAAGTTACCCACGCCAGTACCAAAAGGTATTGCGAGAACCACAAAGCAGAACAGCGTGGGTCTAGACAGCTGATGATTCCACCCAGAAATGGCGAAGCTCGCTGCCGCTTCACAATGCTGTGCTTTGTCCTGATGGTGTATGCCCCATATTCTTCTCTGCTAGCTTTGAATAACAACACTTCCTCATGTGACAATGGCGCGCGCCTTCCAGGGAAGAAGTGCTTTCCCTATAAGTGGGGCTAAAGGTGTCCTTTCTGAGCATCAGCATTCTTGGAAGTCTAGGAGGTCATCTAACACGCACATGGCCAGTAAGACATTGTGGTTTGCGTGCTATTTCATCCAGGCCGAAGGAAATCCAGGAACGTTATTTTCCTCTGCTTATTTTGTGAATGCACCTGTGTCTGCTTGTATCAGTTTCAGTCTTTTTAGGGAGCTATTATAGGCTCCTCTGGAATCTTGACTGTCCCCCCCACCTTCCTGTTCACACAGATGGGGAACCATAAAAATAATTCAGATGTTGAAGTCAATTTACTTCCACAAACAATTATTACCTATCTTGCCAAACAGCAACCTTTTTTTAAAAAAAATAAGACATCGTTTCTGGTCCCTAGCATCTTATAGTCTAGATCACCATTTCTCAACCTTGACACTATTGACATTTTAGACCAGATCCTCCTTTGTTATAGAGGATTGTCATGTGTGTCAGGGCATTCCAGCAATCCTGACCAGGTAGACATTGCCAGATGCACCCTGGGAGGCAAAATCACCCTCGTTTGAGATCCCACTGGTCCCTGGGAAGATGTACACATAGAAGAACTTTTCCTTTTTGTCATTTTTAGATAGAGAATATCTTGGTTGAAAGAACTAACGTCACACAGAACAAAAATTCCCAAGTGGTTTGTTTTTTTTTAAAACAGCTCTAGATCATTTTTTAACAAATTGTTTGAATTTCTTGTTCATCAATCAAGTAATACATGCTGACAACATACGCACATATCGGCTACTATTAATTAATTCTATAACGGCATTTAGTCTCTTCACATGGCCTGTTCTTCTAGAAATCGAACCTCCAAGTTGGATACTCACTGAAGCTTTAGTAAAGATCGAATTTCCGTGATGTGTGTTTGTGTCTGCAGATAGTAGTCGCTGGGCAGTGTATTTACGGAAG